TTTTAATTATGGCAAATGGATGGAAGGGCTGCCCCCCCCCCCCCCCCCCTATCAAGCGCTCCTCGCTATAGTGCGTGGCCCTCTCTACCGTCTTGCGAGCCACAAGTCTCAAGTACACCCGCGTGAGTGATCCGTGCTTTCCAGATCGCTCAATTGTTTGTGCAAACTGCTGTGCCACCAGGCTGAGCGGGTGCACGCCTGTGTGTACCAATCCCTGCTCCGTGGGCACGCATCAGGCGGCGCATTTATTGGCCCCCGGCACGCCGCCACCCGAGGCCTGCCGCCAAGATGCCGCGATTGGTTTGCGAAAGCCGGCTGCCGGAAAGACCGCGCGATAGACCAACCGGGCTGACGAGAGCTCTTGATCAAACGCTTAGAAAGAAGGGCGCCAGAAATGCCTTTCTCCCATCAATGACACCTTCGATAACACATTCTTTAGCTTGATACGTTCTTGCTGTTAGGGAGCATTTTCGCAGGACCTAAATGCGCACGCGAAAACTGGGGGGCAAATTCAAAGAGCTTTCTGTTCGCAAGGGCTCTTCATTCTCGGCTAGCCATCTACGATTATAGTTTTTCCGGCACGACGTTTTTGTTCAGCTAGTTGGGTGGAAGTACTCGTACTGGAGGCAGCCGGTCAATGACGATGCACAGCTGCTAACAAGAAACTTTGGGACTACAACCACTGAACTGTATACATTCACAAAATTACACTGAGTATTCGTAAAGATAGCTTGCACAAGAATTCTTGGTAAGAGAAAATTCCAAGAAATTCTGACGCTAGGCATGTTAGTGATTTTGGCTCGCCATTTTTCCGGTATATTGCAAAATGGTTTGCATTTGCGAGAGCATGGTGATTTTTTGCGAGCTTTACAGCTATTTCTGACACAAGAAAACAAATACCTGAGCGAATTTCAATGGTCGACCTTGCGCAAAGTACATTTTACTAATTATACGTAAACTAATGTCAACGTATATGTACCTGCAACCGTAACTTAAGTAAATCACGCCGCCACCGTTTACGGACGTAGTTTACATGACCATGCTGAAATCTCAAGTTGCCACGTTTCAAGAAGCTGGCAACATACTGCTGTCGATTAAATTTAGGTTATAGCAAGGAGTGGGCTTCATTGCACATTGCTATGGCTTAAATCTCTGGTAACATTCGTTGGGAGGACACAAATCTTTATTATGCCCAGAATAAATGGGGTTCAAGACACGTGGAAGTATTACTCATCATAATTAAATCAATCAAGAAGTGTTTATTGTGAAACGCCCTACTTCACTTTTCTGAAAACTGAAAGTCGTCTTGATGCAGTACTGTTTCTGCAGATTGATCGACGAGTGAAATGCTTAGAAAGGGATACAACAACTGTTGAACAAGTGCATCAATAATGACCCAGCGTTTTGCACAAGTGAAGTGATAATCCATAATGTTAGCCATGCTCCAAAGTAGCAAGGGTCCCTGTTGTGAAGTAATCAAACACCACAAATCACGTCAGTTTCTCTCACCTTTGTATGTATTTCTCATCGTGGTTCCAGCGCTATTTTCGTGACAATTAAAATAGAGCTACAACTGTCTTCTGCTTGCCCCAATTGTGCCTTGACAGCGAAGTTGTATAGATAAAACACGTTTGCGTTTTGAAATCTTCTACATTCAGTCTAAACAGCCTTGCGTTTGAGGCGAATGGGTCGCCATAGAAAGCGTATGTTGTAACAAGTGAAACATATCACTGTTTTTGTTGCCGACAATTTTTTCTTGTTGTACTCACAAGGCCACCAGAAACAGCCCAGTGTTACTCAATTAAAGACACATTTTTATTGGAGCTGGCCTGACTTCGTGATATGTGAGGTCGAGGCCCGTGTGCTCAGATTTGGGTGCACGTTAAAGAACCCTAGGTGGTCTAAATTTCCGGAGCCCTCCACTACGGCGTCTCTTATAATCATATAGTGGTTTTGGGACGTTAAACCCCACATATCAATCAATCAAATGTGAGGTCGAGAAAAAGTGGCATGTGCTTTTGTTATTATCGTTGTCGTGGCGTAGCCTGATGCAGGCGATAAAATTGAAAACAAACTGAATTGACCAAATTCGTGCCTTGAGGCACTCAATTGCCTGACCGATGATATTTTTATAGCTAAAATAAAAGCTTCACTCGTTCGTAAATTTGTTTGAATACCATGTGAAGAAATCTTGAAGCGAGATGCACATTGAAAATAGTTCATATCCAAAAAAGATGCTCTTACGCTGGAGTATTTTGTAAGAGCAAACCCCTGTAAATTGTCAAGCACAGTATTACCGAAGGCAAAGGCTAGGTAGGAGAACTTAGCAATGGGAAGCTTCGAGAAGTTGGCTCCATAGATACTACTGGCTTTACTTGCCCAGCTAGGAGTTATCAGCAGTTAAAAATGGAAAGGTTGATGAAAGGTCGGCAGAAAGATAAATGTTTGAAGTGGTTGACAGTGTTCTAACAAAGAATGCTGATGGATCAAATGTTCCAACAAAAGGACTTGTTTTCGTTAAGCAGCGAAGAATTGACAAGCTGCATAGGAGCAGTTTTTTAAATACGATAGTCTTTCTTGGGGACCTTCGACGCAAAAATTTTGGTCTGTCTGTCTGTCTGTACATTTGTCTGTTTGTTCGCCCTTAACGGTACCCTAAACGACACCAAACGATACCCCGAACGGCAGACCCCATCCGCAGCGCCCATCAATACTGCTCAAGTTTTAGCGTTCATACTTGTGCGATTGTCCATTCGAAAGCAATTATTGCGCATATCTGAGGCACCATAACAACACGTCTATATTTTCTATGTGTGGTTTTACTGGAGAAGGCACACATAAGTAATTATAACGACCGTAGCGTTTATCACGCTGCGCCGACAGTGCAACACGATGCTGAAAAAGTCAAGTGTTTTCAACGCTTTGCTAAGACGACACGGTGGCGGCACCTACCCGTCACCTTGCGTTATACACCTTATCGCCTCCAAGATGTGCGTGCACGCCGCACGCTTAGTTTTCGAAGATAACTGTCAGATAGCGCTATGTCTCACGGGTGACGCGATTCGATGCGCTCGTTCGCCTCCGCTGCACGCTCGAGGCACTCTGACGCAGGACGTCCAGAATACCATTGACCAATTTTCTTGCACAAAACATCAAATAAACGTTTTGTTCACTCTCTCCAGACGCAAAACTATCGTCTTTCGACTATATTTGCCGTGAATCATTTGGTTTTTAGTTATCTTGTAGACACATCCAGTCTTGAGCAAATTTGAAAGCAGACTGCCTGCTCAGTGTGCACAGTGAATTACAGCTCGCGCGTCGCACTACACAGAAGACCCCATGACCTGTGAAGGAATCGTGAATTTAAAACGATGTAAAAATAAATGGAACAACATGCGAATACATCTGAGAAATTACTGCATACGGAACCTTAGTGCTGCATGTGACAGCACTCAGCACTGCACATGGCAAAGTAATTGTTGAATTGCATAGCTAGTTAATTTAAAGCAAGTAAAGAATACATTTTCACAGCTGGTTGATCATAAACAAAGTAAAAAGATATGAGCAGAGAAATCACAACAAGCACTGTGAGATTGCATGTCAAACATTGACATATGCAGCGTCTAAATGTCCTTGCGTATGGCAAGTAAAGACTAAAAATTATGCATAGGTAAAGCAAACAGAAAATAATTGCTGTATATCGAAGATGCATGAAACATGTACGAAAGGCCCAAAACCAATTAATATGAACGATCAAGTGCACTCATAAGAAACGAACTTGTTTGGCACTGAACCAGCTAGACGTGCGGATCCTTTCAAATATGGGCATTGCTGCAGATGAACATCTTTTGTGCTGATATTCGCTAACCTTCATTGGACAAAAAGTCCGGATTTGCTACTTCTGTATTGGTGAAAAGGATTGTTTCTGATCTGCTCCTAGCTCTCTTTCTTATCTACTTCGACTATCTACGTCAATCATCGTAACTCTGAGCGTCGGTGTGTTGGTGACTAAAATTTCAAAAAGGTTAAGCAAGATCTGCAGTACAATATTATTCACATTTATTGTTTGTCTTTAAAAAGTAAAATTAAGAACCGGCACATGGCCAGCATTGGGCCATTTAAAATGATAGGGTTTATTGTGCACTTGGTGATGGAATCGATCATAAGAAATTTGGCGCACAATCTCGAGCAGCTAAAACCTCAGTTTTGAGCAGCAAATCAGCCTTTTTTAGCACTTGACAGTCACATATTTTCAAACAGACATTTTAGGTGTCTAAGTGTGACTTTAATAAAATAAGCATTTGCATGCACACTTGTAAATAATACAACAAAAAGTTAAGTTAACCCACAGCTTCTCGGTTTCTTGCTGACAGCCCCAGATTTATGTGTAGTCTTCGCATCAGGCTTCTTGGCATTTCCTTGTGATACACATTTCATTTGCTAATCAGTACAACTTTCCCTGGCGCTTCCAGAAGCATAAGGTTTCCAGGCATATTGCGTTTACTATCAAAAAGAACTAGCCATGTGATGACGCCTGTGCTTTCCATGCAACCTAGGAATATGAGTTACATGGAGAAGTACGTGCTGTTGCACTTTATGAACAGACTAGTCAAGCTTTTGGTTCTTTTGCCTCTAATGAAGAATCAGTATATTGCATATTCCAAAAATTTGCAACATGATATTCGCTTGAATGAAAGGCTAGGCTTTACATTTTATTTAGACAAGTTTTTTAACTAGCACTCATGCCAAAGAAGCAGGACCGATATACAAGGGTAGTATTTCACTGTGCAACTTCAGTGACTGGCATAAATCCGATAGAAGTCAGAAGAAATAGAAATTGAAATTTTTCTAAAATTAGTGAACTCATGCGACATGTTCTGAAAACATATGCGTACTTCTTTTTGTAGGCAATTCAAGTACTCATGACGTAACAGAATGGTGTCCCGTAAAAACTTATAATTCTGCACTTGTTTTTATCACTTCTTTTTAGTGTCCTGCCCCAACATGCAGCTTGACCAAGATGAACTCACACTAACTAGCCAAAACTTCTACACTGTTCCAGCACCTTCAGTGGCACTGCCAGGTACACTATGCTAAGTTTTGTGCTCTTCTGTGCATATATTGGTGCAATATATCAATATGCAAAGTGTTTTAGGAGAAGCTATGCATGCCTTGGGGTTTCGCCGAGCCTTGCCTGGTGTATTGCATAATTCTCTTATTGTTAATTATGAAGGGTTATAAAAAACCTCAGGGTCTAATAGCGATTTTCCGTGGAAGATCTTAAAAACTGCCCTAGAAATTATAGCTTTACATAAAATCTGCATTTAAAATTGGAATGCAGGGTGTCCAAACACACCTGCCTCTCATACAGAATACACTTGCGCCACTTAAAGACTGCAAAAAAAGGGTGAAAAGTGTGCCGCATTAATGAATGCGGTTCAAGAACTAGTTGCAAAATTAATCAGTAAGATGATGGCAGACTCAAAGGAATATCCAAGTAATGTTCCACACCCAAGGTTTTAAAAAAGTTAGGACTTCATAACTTTATAATTTATATTTTAATTTATAATGTAGACATTATAATTTAAAGAGTGCACCACAAATGAAAAGGAGAAAAGGGTATCCTGCTGAGATGAACTGAAATTGACATATGCTCATCGTGTGCCATGAAAAAGTGTTGAATGCATGTATTGTGCATGATTGCAGAGACAGCAGTCAGCTCTAATTCTGATTATCCTCGTCATCTAGCAAGCCTCTTAAAACCTACTGCTCTGTCTTGGTCGTGAGAAAGTTGTCAATTTAAACTCGTGCGTGAAGGTCACAGCGTACAATGTGAGGCTCATTGCTGCTCAAAAGTACACAATTTAAGAATGGCCCCAAGGCCTACTTTGGTTAAAGCAAATCACTAATTCGACCTAAGATTATGTGCTTTTGCTAGAAACTGTGCTCTAATCGCTGTCCAAGCATGCGATTTATTTCATGATAAGCGTGGAATCGTATCACACAGCTGTTCCTCATTTCCTCATTGGTGTGGCCATATGACTTCTGTACTACCCCCCCCCCCCCCCCCAACAAAAAAACCTTTATTGCAGTGTAAGTTATGAGCTCACAATGTCCAGTTTTAGTGGCAATATTGTCGGCAGCTGCCATACTTACTAAGAAAGGAAGCTCAGTGTGTGAGAAATCCAAGTCGAAATCCAGAATATGATCATTCATCCTACCATAAAGTTGTGAAGTGCTCGGATATTCTTCGAAAAAACCCTCTTTGTAGGCATCACGTTAGATGACGAATCACATTAATTGCTTGGAAGAAGAGTAGATTTGTACAAGACATCACTTCATGTCAACTGCTTAATGAGTGGATGGTCGGAAGCTTCCCACTCGTTACGAAGGGGCGAACCATGATTCGTCATCCTCATCGTTATCTGCCGCTGCATCAACAAAGTGTTCAAGCTACATAAACGCTTTACAGAGGCACACTGGGTACTTTGTTAATACGAAAAATGATGGCGATTGGTGTAGTGGATACCTAGCTAGTGTACCTGCAGTAGGCACCCATGATAGTTCACTGAAGGCTCTATGGAAGGCCACTCCTCCAGCTTATGCTGTGATTGTGCAACGTCGTCCAGACAGGCCTGACATCTTTAGTGCACTTGTTCTTGTGCGAGTGATTTTTTTTCATGGTGATTTTTTTCAACAACATTTTGATATTTTGTCAGTTCAACAAAATGTACCGATAAAAAGAGACCTCTCAAGGGCTTATATGTTGTTGATGGTACCGTAACTCACTGCCTACTGTTATCTCTAAGCTCATTACACAGTCGGTTTGAACCTGCCGCTTTCTGTGGAACCAACCTGAAGGGTCCTATGCTGTGGGGGACTGTAGTGTACTAGTTAACTATAAAAATATTGTGCAGTCAAAGGGAACACATATTTATAAAATTAGGGTATTACTTTACAGCCTGCATTTACAGTTTGATTAAGTGATCAATAGTCTGGTATTGATCATTAACTCTAGTATGACGCCTGCTGTAGGCCTTGCCTCACGAAATTTTTTAAACTCCAAGTTATGATGTGTTCGACTTTGCGTGGAGGGGTTAACTTGGTAATCAAAATAGTATAGAGGAAAACGTGTTCCCTTCGGATTGGTAGGCGTGAAAGTTACTGCCAGCAATAACATGAAAGAAAGAAATTCGGTTTTGCGTAATGATGCTCAAAGAGAAATATCTTACAAAGTTTTTGATGGTGTGAAAGCTTAGAAAGACCCTGCAGTCTGCTGTTTTCTTTTAATTGCCTTTTCTTGCTCACATTTTCATTTTCAGAAGAGAGCCAGAAGACTCCACTGGAAATTTCAATTAACAATAGATTGCAGAACATACCGTGATGTAACACCAAGCCCCTTCCCCCCTGCCCCTCCCCCAAATGTATTTTCTTTTGGCGTTGGTTCCCTTATTGCAATAAATAGTGATGTCACACTTGACAGTTTTTATTGTAATGAATTAAATATATTTTTCATCTACTTACAGCAAAGAAACTTGTTCACCATCTAGTTTGTTTCGGATCTCATTTATATTGCTTTGCCCAATACCCACCATTATTCACAGCAAAGATACTACCAGATGAATTGGTCCCACCCATAAAAATGTCTCAGTTATTTAGCAACCGCAGCAGTAATATGAGGGTGGGGTTTACAAAAAGACAAAGTACACGACTCTGCACGTTAAGATACGTTAGCTGACCTTAGAGTCGCTGAAAAGTAAGTTTTGTCTTATGAGACATAGGACAACTATTGAAAATATCTATTGAGACATAAGACAACTTAGAAACACAATTTCTTCGGGAAATTTATGAATGTATGTAAATCTTGCAGTAAGAATGAGAGTTATGAAAGCTTTGTTTGTTTATTAAAATGTATTTAGCTTAATGCTTAACATTGTACCTGGTAAGGGCTTTCAACAGGGGTAGGAAGTCATAGAATTACTCGCAGTTTATCTACAAACGTTTGATAAGAAATGTTTTCATACTACATAGTTCTCAGAAAAAAAGACTTGAGCAGAATTTTAGCACTGAAGCAATAAAAATATTATGAAGTGCTTGGACTGAACTGAAAATGTGTAGGTTAGAATCTTTACCACTGCTTTATAGTTATAACATGCAGAAAGTTAAAATATGCGACATGAAAACACAGACACATCAGATATGCGCAGGCAAGTTCGCATGTCTGCTTTCTTTTCTGCTGCTGTGCGTCTTTTCAGTTGTTAGTTGGCATTTGTGGCCTCTTTATTTCTCTCTGGTGTCCATGTTTGCATGCTCTGTTTCTTAACAGGAATAAAAACAAACTAGCTCAGCTCTGTTATTGTAGTGCTAAGGCCGACTTGTTTCTCCTGAAATAATAGTGTCCAATTCATTACAGGTAATAGAAATGCGTGTAATCTGGAAGCATTCTTAATTTGTACTGATTGTTCATCATGCCATGCGAATTATAGAGCACCTTGTTATCGGTGATAAAAGGTAAAAATGCCTTTTTTAAAGCATGATATGAGTAATGCATATTTCGACCCCCCCTTCATATACACATGTCTCTTAAGTATACTGGTTAGTGCCAAGTATTGCCAAATGTATCATAATTTATTCAATGAAGAGCTTACCTGACCTGTTAAACATCCTGGTTCATTTTGTTCAAAATTTGTCAACACTTTTCCAAGAAAAATTACTATAGCATCCATATAACTTATTACCTACTATGAAAACAGATGGTTAGTTTGTAATAACAGATGGTAATAGCTTACTGAAGCAATTTCAATGATAACTTGGCCTCCATCAAGAACCTGTTATACGTTCAACAGCAGATGTTTAAAGAAGTGTTGAGCCTTTAGTAAACAATGTTGTGCTAGCAATCTACTTAGTTGTGTAATAAGCTAGCCTGATGAAAAACTAGAAACAATATGCAGTTGAAAAGGAAATCTAATATGGAGGAAAATAGCAGAAAGTTTACATGACAAGGAAGTTTCAGGTGGTGTTTGTTTTGGGTTAAGAAATGTATGTGCGGTCATTGGTTTCTAGTTAAGAAATATTTCCTGTTGGGCAAGTAATGATACATCTGAATAAACAGTGTACTTTTCTGTTAGACGAGTGTGAATGAAAAACAAACGCTTTTGGGAGAGGGCATGGGATTGTGCATTGTTATATTATCATTAGTCAACCTTGCACATTGCATTATTTTAGAAGAGCATGTGCTCAAATACTATGACATATGTCATTCTTTCGGCACTGTTTGTCCACGTGGTATGTGCATCATTCATCTGCGTAATTCCTGGAGGTTCGGGGGGAAGTTGCGGAGAGGTGCATACTTAGATATTTCTTATAGCAAACATGTTCCCACCATTGTGTATCAGATTCGACACTGCAGGGCTTTACAAAATATGGGTAAATTCTCCAGGCACATCATTTCGTGAATCGCCGTCTGCCAATTGTTTCCCAGGCACTCGGGATTTTTTTCTTTTTCTGTCCACGTTGCTGAGCTTGTTATATGTCCTTCGCTTCACAATATGCCCTGTTTTGGTTTTGTAATGTAAATGTGAAGAAAGAGAGTTGGACGAACAGATAACTTGCCGTGGGCAGGGACCAAATTTGGAACCTTCGGGTAACACGTCCGATACTCTGCCAACTGAGCTACCCGTCCTCTTAATGGGGTATATGCAAATTAAATGTGGGACGTGGCTAGTAGTCATGAGGGTGAATGTGGAACACTTTTTGTGTCTGTTTGGCATCGCGTAGTCTTTGGGCTTATGAGTTGGCAGCTGACCAAAAATTTCTGTATAATACCTGAAGGCATCAAGTCTGTCCGAACAAGACCCTAACTATGAATAAAGGAAAGGAGTACTATTAAGGGCTTGTTTTCTTTGTTAAACACAATAATAATGAGATCTAACAGACAATAATGCCATTTGGCATGATTGCTCATGAGATACCATTGATATTGTGTCTAACAAAAAAACGAGCCCTCAAATGTAGTTCTTTTGTTTGGAATGATTGTCTGTTTGATATCATAAATATTGCGTCTAACAAAGAAAACGAGCTTTTAAATGTCCTTCTATGCTTTTTTTTTCGTTTCGACACTATGGTTCTGATGGGCTATCTATTGATGTTACTATTTGGTTATGGATGCCTCATTCACTGTGACGGGTGCATTGCACACAGACATGTCAGGCGCTCTATAACATGCTCAAGTATTAGCAGCAATTAACATTAAAATAGGTCACCTGTAAAGCAGCGAGATGAGTGCTCCCTGCCTTTTGCAAAATGAGCCACACCTACCAGAAGCAGCTTAGAAGTTTATAAGGACGCTATTCCCGAAACACATTTCCTTTTGGTTTTACATTTCTATAGCATCAAGTTTAATTGCAATGGCATCGAGCTGAGTTGTGATGAATGAACAAAATATTCACGAATCGCCTCCCATCTTTTTTTACAGTAGTTTAATAAGATTGCACTCATACACAAGCAAACCCAAGTCCTAGAGTTTCTTGCGTCATGGCAGACACACGATCCCACGATAAATGTCGCGCCAAAGGAGCATGCACACGCTCCAGGATTTACTTTTAGAAAAATTAAACTGCGCTAAAAACGAGACACGAGAACTAAGTGGACAGGACGATCGCAGATCCACTTCGTTCTCGTGTCTCGTTTTTGGCACAGAATTTTCCTAAATGTCTTACCAAGCACCCCCTATCACACGTTTTCCGAATTCACGTTGTGCACCACTTCGTCCATCGCAACACAATCCGCGCATACACCACGGCGTCCATCGTAAAACGATCCGCGTATACACTGCCAGCAGCCGCGAAAACATGTGGCAACAAAAAGCACCAACATTCCGGCGTCCGTCATGTCTGCGACACACGGACGGCTTAATCAGTACGGAGCGGGGCTTCGTACATTCAGGACTTCAAACACATTATTGCACGCCAAAAGGGCATGCACTACACACTCCCGGATCAATGTTCAACACCACTGCGTCCATCGTGAAACGATCTGCGCAGTTGCGCGTAACACATATCAGTGAAAAACCCAAATTTCGACGGCGTACGGCTTCAACCAGCTTCGCAAAACCACTCTGCGGGCGCCACCATCTTGCTTGAAAAGAAACAAAACTAAACGAAAAAACCCCGGAAGCTCGTTTACATCACGTGACCATCTTCAGCCAATAGCAGCACCGCATTTCCCCCATACATCTCTTGGGATATGATACGAAAACACGCCGCCGGGTCAACGAGATAACCACGACATTAGGCCTAACTGGCCTTGCCATGAAAGCAGACTGCCTGCTCAATGTGCACAGTGAATTACAGCTGGCCCGCACTACACAGAGGACCCCAGTACCAGTGAAGGAATCGTTCAACATAAAAGTGGCCCAACGAAGACAACGGACAAAAACGATGACGTAAGGGATTTTGGCTACGTACCGAGTCAGTTTAAGTAAGGCGGGCCCGGACGTGTTGGTTGGAAGAACACTTGAGTAAACAGACTAGGAGTAGGACTGCTTAGATATGTAGCAAGTTGATAGCGTGAAGTTTGGTTGTAGGATTATTTTTTGTATATTTGTAGATTTTTCGAGTGGGTTTTTTATATGAATGTTTGCGTTTCTCGTTGCGATTTTCTTCTGACTTCATTGAACGGGACCACCAGAATCCGTGACAGTAAGCCTCCAGGTTTCTGTTCCGTAAGTAAGTACCACTAACACGCTGCGGCTAATACCATCCTCTTGATGGATGCTGGTATTATTGAGAATGCTTTACGAATGCCCTCCACTCCATCCTTATTCTTCTAGTTATTTTGCTCTCACGGTTTGGCTCAGCGGTTCCTAAATGTCCTAGGTAGACATATTGCTTAACAAATTCCAGTGTCTCGCCACCTATCGCAAAGCGCTGTTTTCTGCTGAGACTGTTGCACATTACTTTAGTTTTATGCATATTAGGTTTCAGACCTACTCTTCCGCTTACCTCCCATGTGAACGCATAGAAAGTTTCTTGAAAATCATTAAAAAGTCATTAAAACTATCTTTATTAAATATTTGATCAGTCTTTTTTTATTTGTACCAGATATGGGTTGCTTTATACTGCATTTAGCATTTATCTTTTGGTTCTATGCCTTTTTGTTTTTTTATTATTCCTTGTGTATTTCTTTTGTTTTTACGCTTCAAACTGCTACTAACCTTGTTTTATTTATTTGTAATGACCCCGCCGCGGTGGTCTAGTGGCTAAGGTACTCGGCTGCTGACCCGCAGGTCGCGGGTTCGATTCCCGGCTGCGGCGGCTGCATTTCCGATGGAGGCGGAAATGTTAGAGGCCCGTGTACTCAGATTTGGGTGCACGTTAAAGAACCCCAGGTGGTCGAAATTTCCGGAGCCCTCCACTACGGCGTCTCTCATAATGAAATAGTGGTTTTGGGACGTTAAACGCCACAAATCAATTAATCAATTT